GACAATCGGCCTGCGCGAGGGGATCGACCTCGAACTCAAAGACGCTTTCAGGAGATCGGGGGCGGCGCATCTGCTCGCCATCAGCGGCCTGCACGTGGGCTTCATCGCCGCTTTTTTCTTCTTCGCCTTACAAGGTCTCCTGCGCAGGCTCCCGCCCAAATTCTTTCCCCTGCACCCGTTCGTGCTCACGCCGTCGAAACTGCGCAGCACTCGGCGTCATCCCCCTCGTGATTCTCTTCGCGCTGCTGAGCGGCGCTCGAATATCCACGGTGCGCGCCACGATCATGATCGTCACCTATCTCCTCACCCGGCTCCTCGAGCGGCCGGGAACGGCGATTCACTCCGTCCTGCTCGCCGCCCTGCTCATCCTGCTGGTCGAACCCGGCTTCATCTGGGACGTGGGGTTTCAACTCTCCTTCGTGGCGGTGAGCGCCATCATCCTAGCGGCGGACAGGCTCCCGAGGCCAGAAGCACGCCTGAGAATCTGGGAGAAGGAGTGGTGGCTCGCGCGGGCGCATCAACTCGCCATCATCCAATTGGTCGTCACCGCGGCGATCACGCCGCTCACGCGCGCTGCATTTTCACGAGGCGCATCCCATCGGCCTGATCGTGAATTTTCTGCTCATTCCGATCACCTCGCTGCTCGTGCCCCTATCCTTCGTGGCGAGCGCCCTCGCCGCCGTCATCCCGGCGGGCGGCCGAACTCCTGCTCCCCGCAACATGGCTCACCGGCGCTCTCGCGCAATTCATGATTTTCGTGTCGACGTATAGTTCCGAAATTCCCTGGGCCAGCATCGTCGCACCGAGTCCCCAGGTCTGGCTCATCGCCTCGGTCTACGCACTCATGGCTCTGGCCCTGCAGGCGAGGCGCGCACGGCGGCGGCGAATCGCCTGGGCGGGCGTGTGCTGCCTGACTTTTTTCCTCCTGCTCCCCAGTGCTACTACACAGGCCTCAGGGCCTAAGCGCACCACGCTCTTCTGCCCGACGCCGGGGGCGTGGACGCCTTTTTCTTGCGCCTCCCCGATGGAAAAGGCCTGGTGGTCGACGCCTCAGGCGGCCGAGCGGGCGGCTGTCAAAACAAGAAGAACCAGCCCGAGGTTGGGACAATGGAGAGCAGGGGTGTAGGAGGCGCAGGCCCCAGATCACCAATCAAGCAGATTGCTGAACCGAAACTTGCGTTCAATCTTGCGCTGATGCGCCGGTAGAATGAGTGACCTTCCTGGCAAACGTATGCTCACCGACTCTCCGATTACCCGCAAAGAGGCGACTCGCCGCGCAGGCGTGTGCGCCACCGCATACGCAACATCGAACCGTCGTGCCACGCATTAGACGAGACCTTCGCGCTCCGCACCGATATCGGCTCTCCCGTTTCGGGGAGCGCTTGAATTCTCCCCGCACCATCTGGCGGATGGCCGGAGGTGGGGCGAGGGTTTCGCTTCTCGCAGCCTTCGGGAGATAAAGCGCGGTGGGCTCGAGGTTTCCGAAAACCACGCGCTGCCCGCTGGCTGCTCATGCTGCCCTCGAAATACCCGGCGTTCGACGCCAGATGGTTTCGGGGGAAAAGATACGACCTCGTGCGCCTGCCCGAGAGCCTGCTCAGAAAACGAGAAGTGCTCGACTGGCTCGAAGCGCGTCCGCCCCGGGTCGTCGTGTGACCACTCATCGCCCAAAGAAAAGGTGATAATGATGGAGACCGACTTTGGGTCGGGAACGAGAAGGCGGCAGAGATAGACTGGGGTCTTCGCTCCTCGCGCGCGTGTCGGATGCCTGCGCGTTCAAGCGGGCGGCGAGGCGGATGCGTGCGGCACTCTTCGAGCCGAGTCGGGTTGTCAGCGCGCCGAAGCCTGGTCGCCCGCACCGGCGCTGCGCAATGGAGAGCGTTTCGCAGGAGCCTCGCGCCTGAATTTTCAAGCCATGAAGAGAGGAATCGACGGGCGTCCCGCGATCAATGAGCCGCTCACGGTAGCGCTCGCTAGAGGTCGTCGGATCAGTCGCCCGGCGTCGGCGGGCGGCGCGGCTGGCGCTCTCCCCGAGGATTTCAGACCGCGCGTCCATCTGGAGGAGAGCACTCGCGGTTCGAGTACAGATCAGGACAGTCGATGACGTGAACACCGCCTTGCGCCTGAGAATCACGAATAACACTCCCAATCCCTCCGCCGATTCCACGCGGTGGCCATGCGCGCCGAATGCGCGCGCCAGGGCCGGGAAATCGGGGTTGTTGAGCGAGGTGGCGATGTAGCGCTCGCCGAACACGTGTTTTTGCGAGTGCTGAGAGCGCAGTTGTATATGCCAACTTCGTTGAAATGAGTAGGTGATCCGATCGATCGAACGCAGCCGTCGCGTGGCCAGCTCGCCGCAGACCATGGTGAAGCTGCCGTCTCCCACGACCGCGCACACCGGTCTTTCGGGCGCGCCGAGTTTCGCCCCGATGGCGGCGCTATAGCGTAGCCCATCGACTGGTAGGCTTCCGAGAGCAGGATGCTCCGGCGACGGTGAACCACGAACGCCTGCTCCATGAGCCAGCTCTGGGTGGCGGAGGAATCGGAGACGAAAATCGTGTCGGGCGAGGTGTTCTCGCGCAGCGTCTTCATCACGAAAAGACCGTGGAAGGGCGGCTCGGCCGGTTGCGTCGAGACGAGCGAGAGCTCTCCTCATAGGTGTGTTTTTGTCTGTGGTTTTGTCTTTTTCTTCCGACTTTAGTCCCTCGCGCACGCGAACGTGGCCTTCGGAGAGAGCGACGTCCTCCGCGTCTGCGATTCTCTTGAGCAGGCCTCGAGCGCGGGCGTCAAGTCGCTCACCAGGCCTCGGCGGCGGGGTAATTCCGCCCGATGCGCTCGTCGATGTCTATTTGCACGAGATTTTTCGGCATCGGCGCCTTGAAGTAGAAAGTGGCGAACTGCCCGAAACCCGTACCCAGAGCCAGACACAAATCCGCTCTCGTCGAGCTACTCACTCACAGCCCGCAGGAATGCACGCAGTGCGAGGAGAGCGGATCGGCTGTCCGATAAAGGTCAACAAGTCCCGTCACTTGATGATCTTCACTGTGGAGCGGGGACGCACGGGCGCGCCGAGCCTCGACGCCAGAAGCTGCACCTCTCTCTCACAGTGCGCGCTCACCACGCCGTTGCCCGCATATATCACCGGGCGCCTGGCGGCCAGGAGCGACTCGGCGATTTCATCGAGCGCGCGCTCATCCACGGGAGGCGCAAGCGGCGGTCCTTCGAACTCTGGTTTTATGATCACGCTCCTCGCGGGGCGGCCTGACAACAGGTCGCGCTTCAGTCTACCACCTGCGTCGGACACGACCCCTCCTCGTCCAGCACCGCCAAAACCACCGCCACCCCAGACGCCCATCAAGGGACACTTCCCGCCGCCGCCCAGTGAAACGCGGCCTCCACGGCGGGCGCAACGCCCGCGACCGAATCGGGCGTGAACGCCTTTTTGACGCAGCCTGCGAGCGCTTTTTCCATGTCCACGTCGTGGATGGCGCGTTTCTTCTGTCTCTTCTGCCCGCCAGTGTTATCGTCGGCGATGCGTGGCCGTCACAAACCACCGCGACGTATGGGCGAGCTGCATCTCAGAAAGCTTGAGCGAAGCGCGGTGGCGACGTTCGTGCCGCCGGGACCCGGCACGGTGAAGACTACGCCCGTCTTGCCGGAAACCTTGGCGTAGCCGTCCGCGGCGAAGCCCGCCCCCTGCTCGTGGCGCGTGACGATGGGCGTCGCGCCCGCTCCGTCGATCATCGCGTCGTAGACCGGCAGCGTAAGCGTGCCCGGAATGCCGAAAATATATTCCGCGCCGTTTGAGTGAAGCGCGTCCAGCAGCACCTGCGATCCGTTTCGCGCCACCTGTAACTCCTCCGTGCGTTCCTCGAAATAGCATAAAACTCGCCAAACGCTAGGCGGTCCATCGCGGCGCGTGAGTCAGACTTCCATCCCCGTTTGCGCCAGAAGGGGGGTAGGGCGCTACCTTCGTCGATCTGTTGGATACCGGGCATAGCATGGGTCAACGCGTACGGGCTAGCCGGCACTCATAGCAGGCAAACTCGACTGTTTGATACTCGGCAAACATCATGAGCCACAACAGTATGTGTAGCCGCTAAACGCATACTCGCTCGCATTGGCGGGAGTTTCATACATAACAGGCCCAAACTCTGCGCTTGCAGTTTTCCTTCTCGCGCATTCGCATACTTATCTCCATCCTCGATAGGGGCGCGAAACGCACGATGGGAAAACAAAGTCAGCCCAAACGGGCGATAGATGCTCTCAAAAAAGCGGAATCCCTGGTCGTCCTGACCGGGGCGGGCCGTGAGGTGCGAGAGCGGCGTTCCCCCACCTTCGGGGATCGGGCGGTCTCTGGCTCGAGACAAGCGCCACTCTCTTGCGCTGGCCACGCCCGAGGCTTTTCGCGACGACCCCAGGCTCGTCTGGGAGTTTTACAATTATCGCCGCGAGGTGCTCACGCCCCTGGCGCCCAACCCGGGCCACTACGCCATCGCCTCGATGGAGGAGCGTTTCGCGCGCTTCACCCTCATCACGCAAAATATCGACAACCTCCACCGCGTCGCGGGACGAGGGAAATCGTGGAGTTGCACGGCAACATCTGGCGCGTTCGCTGTACGAACCCCGGCTGTGAGCGCGCTACGTTAGCGTGGGAGAACCGCGAGGTCGCCGCTCGACCCCCTGCCCCCGCCAAAGTGTGAGGCGTGCGAGAACCTCCTGCGTCCCCACGTGGTGTGGTTCGGCGAGATGCTCGACTCCGAGCAGTTGCGCGGCGTTGGTTGCGGTGGATGATTGCGATTACCTGATCGTGGCGGGCACGTCCGCCGTGGTGCAGCCGGCCGCCTCCATGCCCATGTGATGGCCTCGAGAGGCGGCGCGTTCGTGCTCGAAGTGAATCCCGAGCCGACGGAAATCAGCCCATACATGAGCGAGGCGGTTCAAGAGCCCTCGGGCGTCGCCCTTCCCCGCCTGCTCGAAGCGGCTTTTGGAGGATAGCGATGGCGCGGCCCAAGTTCACGGCGGTGCGCGGCGTGAAAGACATTCTGCCGGAAGAATCGCCGAACTGGCAGGGAGCCGAGCGCCTGGCGCGCGAGATTTTCGCGCGATACGGCTACGGAGAGATAAGAGTGCCCGTGTTCGAGCGCACCGAACTTTTCGCGCGCGGCATCGGCGAGGAAACCGACATCGTCTCCAAGGAGATGTATACCTTCAAAGACAAGGGGGGCGACTCCATCACTCTACGCCCCGAAGCGACGGCCTCCATTTGCCGCGCCTACGTCCAAAACGGCCTCTACAACCGCCCCGGCGTCTCGAAGCTCTTCTGCATCGCCCCATGTTCCGCTACGAGCGTCCCCAGGCGGGCCGCCTGAGGCAGTTCCACCAAATCGACGGCACGCCTAGTCTCGGCGCTGAGGACCCGGCGATCGACGCCGAACTCATCGTGATGCTCATGGAATTTCTGGACGCCATGGGGATCGAGGGCTTGGCGCTTCAAATCAACAATCTGGGCGACAAGGAATGCCGCCGGCCTACGCCGCCGCCCTACAAGACTATCTGCGAAAGGAAACGAAGCATCTGGGCCCTGAATCGCCGAGCGCATCGAGCGCAACCCGCTGCGCTTTCTGGACAGCAAGGACCCGGCTCACCAGGAGATCATCGCGCGCGCGCCGAGGATAGATGAATTCTGGAACGAGACGTGCCGGGAGCACCTGGCGAGCGTGTGCCGATTTCTGGAGAGTGTGGGTGTTGCCTATGAGATCAACCCGAGGCTCGTTCGCGGTCTCGATTACTACTGTCTCACCGTGTTCGAAGTGACGAGCGAGGGTCTGGGGGCGCACAACGCGGTGTGCGGCGGGGGGCGCTACGACGGCCTCGTGGAGGAGTTGGGCGGGCCTCCCACACCGGGGATTGGTTTCGCATCGGCGTGGAGCGTCTTTTGCAACTGGCGGGCGAAAAGGCCCCGGCCCCTAGAGAGGAAACGCAGTCTACATCGTCGCGCTCGGCGACGCCGCGCAGCGCCAGGTCTTCGAGCTCGCCTCCGAATTGCGCGCCCAGGGCATTCGGACGGAACGCACCTTCGGCGGGGGCAGTATGAAAAGCCAGATGAAACGCGGCCAAATCGCGCGGGCCGCCGCGTTTCTGCTGCTACTGGGCTATGACGGAGCGGCCCAAAGCGGGGTGAGCGTCCGCACAGTCTGAAACCGCAAGGCAAAGTGAAACGAGATGAGATATCGAGTTACATAAAAGATATTTTATAATCTAATAACAGATAGTTACAAGATATTATTCAATTTGATTCTAGGTTATCACAGAGCCATTCATACACGCTGATGACCCCCACCTCGCCAAATCCCAGATCTTGATAAAACGCGCGCACTCCTCCTCGTCCTCGCGAGACGATGAGTTCGAGCGCTTCCGCGCCGCAGGTCAACGCCCTTTGGGCGGACGCCTGAATCAGCAAGCGGCCCAGCCCTCTTCTGCGGTGGGCGCTCGCATGGACGCCACCAGTGTCGCGGAATATTAGGCGGATGTAGTCGCTCCTAGAGGCACATAGCCATCGATCCGTACGACGGCGAGTATGGCCATCCCCGCTCCCTCGGGGTCTCCCGATTCTCCATCCAAGAATTCGAGGATGAGCGAATTTTCCGGGCGCGTATCCGGCGCATGGTACCAGGCGCTGATCGTCTCGGGCGTATGGCGCGTGAAGTTCCACATGTCTCCGAAAATTTCGTTGAACAGATCGGCGAGGTATTCGACATCAGCCGAGGCAGAGCCGACCAGCGCGAGTACGCGCGTAGCCCGCCGCCAGCGTGGCTCCCCACTGTCCTCGAAAGCGAATCATGCTTCAGAAGCGAAGATCGTGAACTTTCCGTCCACCGCTCAGATACACGAAACGCCCCGGAAGCGAGACGGGCAGATACGCCCATATACCCCCCAGGCCGTTTTCTTTCGCCTCGGCGAGGGCCGCCTCCAGGAGATGCCGCGCATAGCCCGCCTTTCTGCCATCGGGCCGAACGAAAAGGGCGTCGATACAGGCTCTGTCCCGCGCTCTCGTCTCCCTGTTCACGACCATCCGGCAATAGCCCGCCGGAACCTCGTCGTCCCCCTCGCCCGGCCAAACCAGCCAGACCTTCGTACCCGGCGCGCCGAAACCGCCGACCACCTCTTCGCGCGAAAGACCGAAGGCATCCGCGGCCAATGCGGCCAGCGCATCGCGGTGACCGGGCTCTAAGCGCTCCACTCTAGCCACGGTGGACATGCACCTTTCCCTCGTCAATCATTTTTTCGAATTTTCTCATCAGCCAGCCCCGCATCACGGCCCGCACGGCGGGGACCATCAGGGCGAAACCGGCGGCGTCCGTCAGAAGACCGGGTGTCAAGAGCAACACGCCGCCCACGAGCACCATCGCGCCCTCGACCATCTCGGCCCCGGGGAGCCTCCCCTCCGCCATTTCCGCCTGTATGCGGGAAACCACGTAAAATCCCTGGGTTCTCGCCGCCCATGCGCCCAGCGCGCCGGTGAGGATGACGACTCCCAGCGTGGGGGCCAAGCCGATGGAACTTCCCAGATCGATGAGAATCATCAACTCTATGATGGGGATGAGCGTGAAGAGCAAAAACAGTTTGAATACCAAAATACCTCTCCTTCGCGGCGCGTTCGGCGAATTTTAGCACGAGTCCACGCGAAATGGATATAAGGAGGACTCTTGCAATATGGATAGAATAGATGAAGCCGGCGCGAAAAATTCAGGCGTGCGAAACGCGCCTCGCCTCTTTTCAGTTTTGCAGGCCTGTGCAAAAGTCCTTAAAGTCCTATAACAACATTTCGGCATATCCACTCGTTGCGCTGGGCGCACCGATGCAGGCGAAGGAGCGAAGACATGGCATCCACGATGAAAGCAATGCGGCTTCATGAGTTGGGCGGCTCGTTTCAGCTTGAGGAGGTTCCGGTGCCTCAACCCGGGCCGAACGATGCCCTCGTACGCCTCAAGGCCACGGGCGTGGGCCTCACGCTGGTCATAGCACATGCGCGACGCACACGTCCGTGGCCTATGAGGCGTCTACGAGTGGATGTCAAGTACCGCGCCCGGCATAGTTCCTGGCGACATTGACGACTATGTCTGACGCTCTGCGCGGACGCGTGTCTCTGTGCGACCGCCGGCGCTCTTACTTACCATTTTACGTCATTACGTTCACGTGTGGCTCTCTCCCCTTTATTTTGTGTCCCTCGGCGATACACAGTGACCACCAGTGCCCCTATTTCTACTCACCTGCCCACAACTGCCGGTCTCGCCGCAGCGGCGTCGAACGCTTGCGAGAATTTCATGTCTGATATTTCGGCCTCGTCATGGACGGGGGCTATGCCGAATACACGACCGTCCCCGCCGTGAACCTGTGCAAGATCCCAGACGGCGTCACCTCGCTCGACGCCTGCGTGGCGGCGGACGCCATCTGCACTCGCCATCAGCACACTGGCGTGGCGCGAGGCTCAGATTAAACCCGGCGACGTGGTGGCGATCGTGGGCGCGGGCGGCGCGTGGCGATTCACGCGGTGCAGATGGCCCAGGTGTGCGGCGGCCACGTCATCGGAATAGACGTGTCGGAGAAAAAACTCGAGACCGTCTCCGCGCTCGGGGCCTTCGCCACCCTGAACCCGGCGCAGACCGACACCGTGGAGGCAATCCTCTCCCTGACCGACGGGCGCGGGGTGGACGCCTACATCGACTACGTGGCCTCGCGCGAGACGCTCGAGCGGGGCCTCGCCAGCCTCGCGCGCGCGGGCAAGCGTGATCGTGGGCTCATAGATCCGCGCCCGCCGCGGCGTCACACCACGTGTCCCTCGAACTGCACCGTCTACCCCGCTGCAACTGCTCACCTACGCGCAGGAGATCCACGGCTCGCGCTACTGCTCGATGGAAGAACTCGGGCAATCGCTCGCCTGTGTCAGCCGGGCGGATCAAACCCTCGTCACGAACCGTTCCGCTCGAGTAGACGGAAGACGCTTCCAGCGCTCATCGCAAAGCCGGTGACCGAGAGCGCGTGTGGTGTTGATGTAGGTTTCATTCGCAGGTCTATCTCGTCTTTATGATTTTACATGAGAATCAACCATGGGGAAGCCGTAGCAAGGTAGTGATGCGCCAAGCGTGAGCCGCCGGTGAGGGCCAGGCGCACAGAAGGCTGCCGTGTGGAGATAAAGCGCGCAGCACTCTCTTCATCGCCGCTTAACCCGCTCAGGCGCGAACCGACACTCCCCTGGCCCCACGCCGCGCGAACTCGCGCTCGGCGCGCTTTCCGCCTGCATCACTGGTCAGCACGCGCAAGGTCGGCCGACGGGCTGCGGGCTTCACGTCATCGCCAGGGTGTTTAGGTTTCGCGGCACGGGCCGACAGGGCGTCCAGGACCCGGACAAACGGCAGTGCAGCGCCCAACTTCCGATACGTGGAGGCGAAAATTCACCTCACCACCGATGAGCCCGACGAGCGCGTCGAGGAACTCAAGCGCCAGCATCACGGGCGCTGCCCATTTCCGCGCTCTACCGCGAGAGCGGCTGCTGAACTGGTGGAGGAGTGGATGATCAAGCGGCCCTGAGAGTCCGAAAACCACGCCGCGCACAGCCTTTTCCACCGCATCCCCCATGAGAGGCCCTCGCCAGCGGCCGAGGGATCATGGATTCCGGCTTTCGCCGGAATGACGAACCCGGCAAACCTAGATCGGGGATGGTGCAGCAAGCCGTTATGAAGCTACAGACAGATTGGTATGGTGGATGTGCCGAACCGGGACGACAGGTACGGCAATGCGAAGAGCGGAGACGGAAGATACACGCCGTCACAGAGTTTCCGGCTTCTCATACTCATACGGATGTTCCGCTTTCATGTACCCACCGTTATTCCGGGGAAAGCCGGAAGCCATTTCAAACAATATCTTCATACAAATCACGCCATGTCGGATTGTCCTCCTCGATCAGTTCGAGTTTCCATACCCGCCGCCAGTTTTTGATGCTCTTCTCACGCACAATCGCGCTCCTCATCGTTTCGTGGCTCTCATACCAAACCAACGTGTGGACACCGTAACGCTTCGTGAAACTTTCCGCCGAACCGTTCTTATGTTGCCAGACCCTACGGAGAAGGTCGGACGTAACGCCGATATAGAGCGTTCCGCGACACTCATTGGCGAGAATGTAGACGCAAGGTTGCTTCATTGTTCAGCCGATTCCCATTGCTTCCGGCTTCTCATAACCGATGCAGCCATTTCGGTTTTATGTTCCCATCGTCATTGTTTTCACCGTCATTCCGGCGAAAGCCGGAATCCATCCTGACTTTTCGCCCCTTCGCGCGTGGCCCCTCATTCTCGCCCCGCCCGGCATTTCTCAACGTCATTCCGCATCCGCGGCCTCACGGATGGCCGAAGAAAAATGGATTCCGGCTTTCGCCGGAATGACGAATACGGCAAACCGGGATCGGGGGAGGTGCGCAAGCGGTAGTGAGGTGATGCTGCCGCTCGGCGAGCAGAGAATACGCCCCTATTCCACTCGCCTTCATCACGTTCTTCGCGAATTCGGCGAAAATCTTGTTCGCCTGGTTCTTGATGACGCTGAAGCCGAGCGAGCCGAGTTTCCCGAACACGTCGACGCTGGAATTGATGCGCACCATGGTTTCGTTCTCGGAGACGGCCTCGAGCGTCACCTCGTTTTTCTGCCTGAGGCTCGCCGCGATTTTCGAATCCTTCCCCTCGCCCACCGTGCGGATGTACTCGGGCGCGCGGACCTCCTCGATTTTGATCTGAAGCTGAAAGACTCGCCTTCAGGAAACTGACCTTCTGCTCGACTCTCACGCCGTAGGTCGACTCGTCGATTTTCTCTCACGTCCTTCACGCCGGGCACGCAGGCGGCGAACTCCTCGACCTGCCAGATGAAATCCCACACCTTCTCCCGGGGGGCGCGACCGTAATCTCCTGGTTGAATTCCATGTTGTGTGTCCTTTTTGCTCGGTGTGACGCGAAATGATGATCAAACGAAGGTATGATTCTACCAAGAGGCGAGGAGTTTTACTCCACAGACCCTTCCTCATCGGGATGACGATGGCGGCCGAATCTCTCATCCTGTTCGCCAAACCGCCCCTCGCCGGCCGGGTGAAGACGCGCCTCGGCATAAGTCTCGGGCGCGAGGGCGCCGCGCGTCTGTATAATGCGTGCTTTCTACAAGACGCCGCCGAGACTGCGCGCGCGCTCAGCCGTGCGATGCCGGGCGTGGGCCTCGTCTGCGAGTGGGCCCTGGAGCGCGGAGAGTCGCTCGATGCATTTCCGCTCGCCGACTGGCTTCCCGGCGCTTCCTCCATCGTGCGCAAACGGGAGCGGACCTGGGGGCGCGCATGGCGGCGGCTCTGGGGCGATGCCTGACGGCCGGGAGGCGCGCCGTGCTCATCGGCACGGATTTTCCGGACTTGCCACACGACGTTCTGCTCGAAGCGTTTCGGAATCTGGATAGCGGGGATGACCCCAAGATCACGCTCGGCCCTGCGGCGGACGGGGGCTACTACCTCATCGGGATGAACCGGTTTGTCCCTGAAATTTTTCGACGGATATCCCCTGGAGCACGAGCGAGGCGCTCTCCCGCACGATGCAGAGAGCGCGCGAGTTGAAGGTCAACGTCACCCTTCTTCCCGAATGGCGCGACGTCGACGATGGCGAATGATCTGGAGGCTCTGAAGGGTCGTCTCTCCCGAAACGTCTCGCTCGCTCCGCATACGCGGGAATATCTGCGCTGATCTGCATCTGCGTTTTGCCCTGAATCCTGGGAGATGAAAGGATCGGCCGTCAGTCCGCCGAACGATGAGGACCCCACATTGCCGAACGAATCCGCCAGTCATAGATCACGTATACCTATTGCGTCCACTGAGCCTGGTGCCTGATCGCGACCGGGCGGTTGCGAAAACTGGCGGAGATGGCGGGCGGCTCCTCGCCATCCGCTATCGCGCCTTTCTGCTCTCGCCCGAGCCGGACAATCGTCCGTGCCCGAAAGAGCCATCATGGGTCACTGGGCGATGGCGAAAAGTTTTCCCGGAGGTGAGGAGATAAACCCCGAACGCATGGCGCACCGCGATTTCCCCTATCCCCATTCCACTCCCGGAGCGGTCGCCGTCAAGGCCTTCGCGCCCAGCTTCCGGGGCGGGAGGGCGAGTACGCTCGAGGCCGTCGAGAGAACGCACCTGGTCGAATGCCTGAACATCGACGACGACGCGGGTGCTCGTGGCCGCCGCCGAGCGGCTGGGGGCGGAGCCCGCGATGATGCGCGAGGTCATGGCCGACCCGGATATGAAAAAGCGCGTCTGGGCGGATCACGTCGAAGCCCTGAACGCAGGGTGCAATCCACGCCCACGGTGGATTTTTCGGGCAAATACAGAATCACCGGCGCGCAGCCCATGGAGGTTTTCCATAAAACCTTCGAGCGCGCCGCCGCCGACTGCGAGGACGCCTGACCCCGCCATGCACGAGACCAGAAGACTCGGAAAAATCACCGCCCTTCTGGCGGCGTTTCCCATGCTCGCAGGCTGCGCGGGCATCCGCGCCCTCTTCATCCCCGAGGAGGAGGCCAGGCTTGCGTCTGAATCAAAGCCATCGCCCGAGAAGAAAGCGGAAGACCCGCATTTCTTCCGCGTCCTGACGCTTCCCACCTACGAGATGGCGAAAGAGGCGTATGACAAGACCGCCATTCTCGGGATTCCCTTCCGCAAGGTGGCCCATGAGTTCAGGGAAAAAGCGCGCGCCATCCGCGGAAAAGCGCAGCCTCGCAACTCAGCGTCGGCACCCGGGCCGAGGTGCAGGATTTGAACTCGGGGCGACGTCGAGAATCATCGAGTCGGACGAGGGTTTTTCGATTCTCCAGAAAACGACGAGCGCGCTCTATGAACGCGCCCTGAGGCTCATGGAGAAAAAAAACCATGAGGCCGCCATCAGGCTCATTCGCCATGATCTCAAGATCAACCCCGGAAACGTGGACGCCTGGCTCGCCCTGGCGAAGATGATGGACGAGGCGGGCGATTTGGAGGAAACGCTCGCCGCATACCGCAAAGCCCGTGAACTCGCCCCCGAGGACCCGGCCGTCTCCAACAAGTACGCCAAATACCTGGTCTCCCAGTACCGCTACGAAGAGGCGGAAAAAGTGCTCAAGGCGGCGGAGGAATTATCGCCCGAAGACACGACGGGCGTGCTCCTGAACCTCGCCTCCTTGCTCGTCTATCTGAACAAGGAACTCGACTTGGCGCGCGCCCTCATCATCGTATCACGCGCGGCTCTCGGATCGACGCCGCGCGGCCTGGTACCGCCTCTCGGGCGTCATCCAGAAAAGGCGGGAGTCGGGGCTCGCGCGTAGTCGAGGGGTGGATTAGAGGTGCGGGAAGGACAGGTCGCAATCATCTCTATATTTTCGTTACCCAAAGGATTCTAGATCACTCTTGAGGTCATTGCGCACCGAAGAGGGAGGCCTGTCGGCGAGGTAAGCCGCAGCGGCCGGTGGGGGCCAGCGATGCGAGCGAGAGGGGCTGAATGCTAAAGCTCCTCGGAGTAGCTACACGTGTCAGGGTGGGCTTCGCCTTCGTCTTCAAAGCTCCTCGTCGGGTGGGCATGCTTTGACGGACAAGCGCGTTGCTCTCAGTCGAAGAGAGTGTCCCCTCTACCGCTGAAATCCCAGCGACTCTCATTCTTAACAGCGAGGAGCGCCTTTTAGGTAATTCTCGTGTCCGCACGTATCCTCATCCGCAGCAGTCCTACCCTCTTCGGTCTGGGACAATCGTCCTCTCCTCATCCTGCTTCACCCTCTTGGCTTGGTGCTCGCGCTCTCTCATGCGTCATAATGCCCTCCATTCTCGAACCATGCGAAGTTTTCATGCCGAATCGCCAAAATCATGAAAGGGTATACGCATGAGCGCCGACCTTTTGATTAAAAACGCAAAAATCGTGACGCCCGCAGGCACGTATGAGGGCTGCGTCTACGTGGAGGGGGGGCGGATTTCCGCCATCACCCAAAAAGCCGAGACGGGTGCTGCGCGCGAAATCGACGCAGGGGGACGCTTTCTCTTGCCGGGCATGGTGGATGAGCACGTGCACATGATGGACCCCGGCTTCACGGACAGGGAAGACTGGACGACGGGCACCGAGGCGGCGGCCAGGGGCGGCATCACCACGGTGATCGACCATCACCGGAGCGAGCCGCTCGTCTACACGCGAGAGATACTGGAGGAGAAAACCGCCTACATCGATTCGCGCTCGGTGGTGGATTTCGGGCAGTTGGGCGGCCTCGACGTCGACAACCTGGAACACTTGCGCCCCATGTGGGAGGGCGGCGCGCTGGGCTTCAAAGGGATTCATGTGCGAACTGCACGGCGTGCCCGATTTGTCCGAGGGCGGCGCTCTTGAACATCATGCGCGAGGCCAAATCCTTCGGCGCCACGGTGATGTTGCACTGTGAGAGCGATTCCATCCTCAAGAAATCGAAAAGAGAAAATCGACGCCGACAACAGAACGGACTACATGTGCATCAGCGACTGGCGAAACCCAGAGAGCGAATACGTGGCGACACTGGACGCCGTGGCCCTGGCCGAACTCACGGGCTGCACCGTGCTGGTGGCCACGTGAGCCAGCCGTGCTGCTCAGAGCCATTCGGGCGGCGCGCGGGCGGGGCGCGAGGATTTTCGCCGAAAGCTGCCCCCAGTATTTCTATCTCGACCACTTCGCATTTGGAAAAGCTGGGGCCGTTCGTCAAGTTCACGCCTGTGATTCGCTCGGCCGAGACGCGAGACGGAATGCGCAGAAGCCCTGGGGCGGCATGGTGGACACCATCGGCACCGACCACTGCCCCTTCCCCCGCCAGCGGAAGGTGGACGGCCTCGAGAACATCCACGAGCGCCTTCGGGATTCCGGGCGTGGAGACGACGGTGCGCCTGATGCTCAACGCCGTGAGCGAGGGCGTCATGACCCTCAACCAGATGGTGCGCATCTGCTGCGAGCAGCCCGCGCGCGTATTCCGCATCTATCCCGGAAAGGGTGCATCCAGGTGCGATGCGGACTTCATCGTCGTGGACATGGACAAGGAGAGACGCTGCGCGACGCGGACATCGTCTCCAAATGCAAGTGGACGCCCTTTGACGGCTGGGGGGTGAAGGGCGCGCCCGTGATGACGCTCGTGCGCGGCGAAGTCGTGATGGAAGACGGCGAGGTGACAGGCCGAGCGGGGTACGGCAAACACCGTGAACGACCGCCCGGTTTGGTTGAACTGGCTCAAAGAAGCGAATTCGATCTTGCAGGTAGGGCGAACCGCGTGTCCGCCGAAACAACTCACCCTGCGTTCGACATGACAGGCCGCGATTTATCCGCAAAGCGAAAATCACCGACCTCATGCTACCAAACGAGAGTCCCGATATGCATAAACATCAGCAAGGCGATGAGCCGGTATATCCGGTCACGGGTTGAAGTCCGCTTCCTTGTCGGGAGCTTGCCGTCAGAACCCGCTTTGGGATTGTAAAATTACCTATCCCCTTCGCCGTAACGGAGCGACGATTTTTTCGCTCGGCAAATCGGATGAGGTGGCGGGCGGGCGTTGTGGCGGCTACCAGTCTTTCCATCTGCCGACCGTTTCATCATCATATACGCAATACTTCCGCACCCGTTTTTCCGCTGCCTTGAAGCCGGTCAACGTATATTCTGCGGTCAAACGTTTTTTCCCGATCGTAGTGCTGACTTCGAGTCTCCGGTGTTTCGAGGCCTTTTCGATGAAGTTCCCCACAGACTTGCCTTGAAGGAAGCTGTACCTTTTGTTTCCCGACACAACCACCATCGTGTTTCGTCTCCGCAGGCTCTTATCGAACTGCGCTCACCATGATAACGGCTCACTCTAACTAATGAGATGCCAAAAATTCCACTTGACCATATCTTCAGCGCCCCGTCTTCGCATTATACGTCGCGTTCGCTCGTCTTTTGGGAATCTGATTCCACCGGACTTCTTCACGTTTTCCAAGTAGGCGTGCGATTCAGCGCTTTTGTTGGAAAAGTTGAGTTTCTGTACACCCGTCCGTGAGACGATTTTCGAGTGACGCGTGCTTTCGTCCGCGACGCAGACAGCCGCCTCCATCAATGCAGCACGAAACCATCAAGCGGCACATTTGAGATACCTCCTGCGTAGTACGAACTTTCTCTTGGCCATGCTCGAACCGCAACAAGGCTCAGGTCCTTAGCAAACCGTACCGTTTCACTTCTTGTTCCCCCGTCAGATAGGCATGTGGGTATTTATAAACCGTCTTGGTCGCTTGGGCTGCAACTTCCGAGACGAGCGTCTTGACCCTGACCCTGCCCTCCACTCCTTCTCCAGCATAGGCGCCTGTCTGGGCGCAAACATTGTCCCACAGCGCCAGCACGCATGCGCCGCGAACGTGTCCGAATAAACACTTGCATTCCGTGGGGCGTCCATACAAGACTCACGAGTGTCAACATATATGTCTGACCATACGATAAAACTGCCATTCATCGCGGGCTGTCCCTATCCTCTCCAGCGCAGGGTTTTTAAGCGCCTTGGTTCCCTTTCCTTGCGAGAGCCGCAACAGGTGAAAAGCGCACAATCCCTCCCCCTCGGTCGGGATTGACGCCCGCATTTGCGGTGCGTGGATGCCGGGCGCGACCGGGTATGGTGGCGAAGCGATTCGGCCCGCTCGGGGCCAAGGGAATTGATGAAAATATCGATAAAATTAGATAAATTCACGGGGTTTTTCGAGAAATAAAACGATGTTTTTCCGTCTGGTTTCGGTAAGTTTCTGAAAGTGCAGGGGACGCCGTCGAGGGCTGTCGAATTCCGCATGAGTGGAGGGGCGGGAGAGCTATCAGGGGGCGGGGCGCTCTTTCTTTGGGCTCTCAGCTCTCTCTTTCTCCCCTCGTGTCTCTCCTCTCTACCCTCCTCACCCTCTCCTTAAAGCTTCATTTTTAAATTTGATTTTCGTTTCTTCTCTTCTCCATCTTCAGGTCTTCCCAAGTCCCTCTTGCGCTCCACGCCCCAGCGATAGCCTGCGAGGCTTCCGTCTCCCCGGATCACGCGATGGCAGGGAACCAGCAGCGCCACCGGGTTCTCGGCGCACGCGCGCCCTACCGCCCTCGCGCCCCTCTCAAGCCCATTGTCTTGGGGCTTACCTCCTTGTATGTCATTGTATTTCCAGTAGGAATGGAATTTAAGTTAATCAAGCCGCTTCCCATACGCGGCACTGAAAAGCGCTGGCGCGCAACATCGAATCGGTACGGAATCGGGGGGAACCTCCCCTTGGGCGAGGAGGCGACAATATTCAAGTATTTCTTTAACTCATCATCGCTACGACGCAGTATTGCATTGGGATATTCATTTTTCAGATCGAGGACGAGTTTCATCGACATCCCCGATGCTCACGCGGCACACTCCCTTCTCCGTAGCCGCCACCAACAGTCGGCCAAGTCGCACTTCGTGATACCCGTAACGTATGCGAAACGCCTTCCCCACCGCCTTCTTATACTCGCAGGAGGTCATGGCCAGATAGCGCCGAATGCGCCCTCTACACCCGCTTCTCGAGCGCGTACCCGGCTCTCATATCCGCTCCCGCCAGAAATCGCGTCCGTTTTTGAGTAAATCCTTGTATTTTTGCGCTTTAAGGGATTCGAGATACTGGCGGGGACTTACACCCAGGGCGCCTTTGAAGGTGCGCTGCAAATGGTGGGGACTTGCACCCACAGCCCGCCCCAACTCCGCAAGGGTGGGCTGTTCCATCCGCGTGTTCTTCGAGTTCTAACGGAGTTTTCTCACCTGCTCCAAGGTCGGGGATCGTAGCCGGCACTCTGAGGAGCGCACCTCAGGCAGGGCCTGAAGCGCGTCCTTCGGCCATTTCGGTTTTCGGGGAAAATTAAAAACAAAAAACAAAAAAAAATTCGAAGATTATAAGCCAGTAAAATTAATAGCCTAGATACATATAGCCCCTTAGCAAAAAAAAGTAATAAAAAATAGCCCAAATAAATAAGAAAACCCCCCCTCCTCCTTCCCCCCCCCCTTCATAGTCCAGCCCTAACGCTCACCCAAACTAAGTCATGCCATATCCATCCAATAGAAAAGAGCGTAGCTTTTAAAGAATATTAAAGCGCTAAAAGTATAAAAAAATAGCAAAAAACATAAAAAATGCAAAATAACCAACAAATCGCACGATGCACTCCCCTCTCGCTTCCTCCCCTCGTCCCATACCGCCCCAGCTTCCCTCCCCCCCCGTCCCCGCGCTCCCCCCCGCCTCGTCCGCCCCCCTCCCCTTCCCCCCCCCTCCCCTCACCGCCATGTCCCCTCCGTGGCACCCCTCTTCCACCCATCCTCAAGCAAATAAGTAGCCGCGCATAAAATAAATAAATAAAAAAAATCCCTCCCCTCTCTCCCTCCTCGTTCCCACCCCTCGCTCCTATCGCCCGCCGAGGCCCACGCACATGAAGTTAGCATTACAGCTTAAGCCTAGCTATATATAATTACAAAATAAAAAAGTCGAAACATACACGCGGTGGCGTGCTCTAACCCTGTCCGGTCCCCCTATCTCCCCTAGAAGAAAGACCCCTCCCAATGGACTCCCCTTACCCCCGCTCCAGATTAAAAAAAAAAAAATGAAGAAGAACACACAATGTCTCGAACATCATAGCCTGCTGTCGTGGCCGCGCGCCGGAAGCCGCCCCGGGATGAGGGCGGACGCCGCGGAGAGGGCGCAAGTTAGTAAGTGGTGGGGGGAGGGGGGGGCGTAATATAAAATAAAGAATAAAAATAAATATAAAAAATAAAAAATAGCACGTTGTTTTTATTTGGCTTTCGGCTCGCGCACGAAGGACGGCAATAAATTCCGGTGGAGCGAACAGCGTATACGAAACGGCCATCCGCCCTTGCGTCGCGCTTGAGAATCGCTTCCCACTGAGCATTCATATCCACTTTCAGCCTCCCCAAAAGACATGAGCGATTACATATTCATCCATAATGTAATCGCAACGCCGGGAGTCTTCTATCCGATTCTTGCTGTCAAATCAGATTTCTCATTTTCAGGCGCCAACCCTAGTTGATGAAAATTCAAACAGATACAGGGATGACCTCGATTTCATATTCCAGAGCGGAACACCACCCTTCCCCCGACCATCGTGAGCAAGGGCTTGATGTCCTTGATATGATCTTCAGGTATCGTCATGTAATCACGGTCGAGCACGACGAGGTCGGCCAATTTACCTTTTCGATAGAGCCCAGCTCACTTTCCTTGAATAGCAGGTATGCGTTCGACCTCGTGTGGGCAATGAGCGCGTTTTTTCTGGAAACGGTTTCGGTCTCCGAAAGCGCCCTCTTCCCGCTAAATCCTTGCCCGTAACGGCCCACCACAGGGAAAGCATTGGCGGATAAGGGGCTACGACACCGGCATCCGTACCAAGCCCCCAAATGACCCCGCTATTCTGAACCGTCCGCAACGGCGGCAGCGAGAGCGCGCGTTTCCCCAATCTTCGCCTCAGCGCGGAACCTAGAATCGTCATTTTGCTGTGCAGGGCCAAAGTCATTCCGAGCGCTTTGACGCGCTCGATGTTCTTATTGAGATGAAATCCGCGTGATGAATCGACCAGCGCAGATTCGTTATTTTCTTTTTTTGATTTATTTTCTCAAAAATGTCCAAATACCGCGTAATCGTAGTATCGCGAAAAGCATGCTCGTGAATCGTCCATCCCCCATCTACAGCCGCCTCGGAAACTTTTGCAAATTCATGATAATCCTCATCCGAAGCCCGTGAAGGCCTGAACGGCGAATCGTGGATAGGCGCATACATATGCTCGCCAAGCGCGATTTCACCCATCATCTTGGCGGATTTATCAGGGCGGGATTTTCGAATTCTCTCAATCACTCTTTTGTTTCGCTCCGGAGAACGCACCCGAAAGCGAGGTGTGTAAAATATCCTCACCGTAAGGCCATTTTTGGGGGACAATTTTCTCTGATCAACTTGTAAGTTTCGTCCCTAACCCCGCCACCACCTAACTCGAGCAAACTCGTTACACCAGCACGGTTAAAGTCCGTCATCAGCTTCTCGAGGCCGGATATGACTTTGTTTTCCGTAACTTTCGGCAGTTCACGTCGCCAGAACCGGAAAATGGCCCGACGACCGTAAATAACGCCCGTAGGAGCCCCAGAATCACTTCTGCTATCCGCCAGCCTCTCGGATCTCCTGAGATTCTCATCAATGCCCGCCTTCTTCAGAGCCTGGCTATTCAAGATCATAAGCCGATATGATTGCTGAATAAAAACCGGATTGTTCGGGGCGGCCCCGTCCAATTCCGCTTTCGTAAACAACCCTGGCTTATCGCGAAATTGGTCGGGGCTCCATCCACCAATGATGAGCACCCACTCCCCGTGTTTCATCAGATTTCGCTTGGCGGAAATGATGGAAAGCGCTTTTTTACGTGAAATCACCCCATCGATTCTTGCTTCATGCTCCCAACGCAACGCATGGCGGATGAAATGAACATGGTTGTCAATCAAACCGGGGATCACAGTTTTGCCTTGCAGATCAATCACTTTCGTATTTGAACCTATCAGTTGAGCTATATGGGAGTATCCCCCACAGATAAAATGCGTTCGCCCCGGATGGCCACTGCCTGCTGAATAGAATAATCCGCATCAACTGTTAATACTTTCCCGTTCACCAGGGCGATATCTGCTGATTGGGCAAACCCAGAAGATGGGAGAACCCCCAAAACTACGAAAATTATTGCGAATACTCTATTTTTTAGAATCATGCGATACCCTCGGAATCTAAAAACCATTCTTTACAATTCACCCTAAAATCAAGGATAGAAATACATCTATGATGGTGATAACATATTCGCCTCTAATCACCACTTACAGCAAATGCGTAGTTGGAGAGATGGTAATTTTCACTATCGAGGAGGATCAGAAGTGAATATTTCCACAAATTCAAATCAACAAACTCTCAGACCTAAAACAACGGTAGCCCCAGTTACAGTCATTCGCTTTGGTGAATTAGCGCCTGACTGGGGGGAATATCACGATTCCCATATCGAGGGTAATCACCGGGCGATTTACCGATACATTGGTGGTATTTCTGGTCAAAATCTACGCTCCCCCCTTCCTGGCTGGGAATTCACTTGTGGTATCGCCATGACTCCTCCCAACAACGGCGCACCGCTTCACGATCATCCAGATGAAGAAATTTTCATGGTCTGGGAAGGAGAATTCGAGATATTTTGGGAAGATTTTGAAACCAATGCCCCCCAAAGCAGTCATCTTGGGTAAATACGATCTTGTCCGCGTTCCCTCAGGTGTGATGCGCGGGTTCAGAAATGTCGGAAAAGATGATGGGTTCATTCATTTTATCCACGGCCAAGGCGACTACCAATACCCCGTCTATCCTGAATCACTGCAAGAAGGTTTGCCCGATGGCGTTCGAACCGAATCTTACGTCAATAAACCTGCCTATGACCCGGCCACCCAGCTGGTCCGCTTCGAAGAATGTCCTCGCAACTGGAGCGTTTATCACGAAGCGAAACTCCCTGAAGGGGTGCGTTCTCTCAGGCGCTATATCGGGGGCGTATCCGGTGATACGGATGAAGGCCACCACCTTCCCTATCCGAGGGAGAGATAGGATACGCAATGGTGGAATGCGGCAATGGCCGCGGCGCACCGCTGCATGACCATCCATGTGAGGAACTTTTTATCGCGCTAGAAGGCAGATGGGTGGTCTACTGGGCTGACGAGCGGGGAAACATCGAGCAAGCCGTTCTCGATCCATGGGATGCTTGCTGGGTGCCGACCGGCGTGCAGCGCGGATTTCGAAATGCCGACCGAACCGAAGGCAAAATTCACATAATTCAAGGACAAGGAGCAACTCCAGCCCCCAACTATACGGAGGATTATTCTGCTTTAAAAGAAAATACTTAGACCAAACAGCAGATGTCGTTTATCCATTTGGTGGTAGCAAGTCCAAATCCGAATCGTGCGAATTGAACCATACGGGGCGACACTAGAGAGCAAGGGACGTAAATTGCTTTCTGCATCCTATAGTAACTGAGCCAAAACTGCCCTGTACGAATGCCGCTTGATCGATATCGTTAGATGATTATGCTCAACCAATTCTGAAGAGTTGAAGACTACCGAAGACCTTTGAATTTTCGCCGAATCTTTTGCATGGACTTCTCTTTTCGATCGAATCTCTTAATGCCCTTCACCCAATGGTAAATTTACGGCCTCTCCCGTTTTGGAAGACAACTCCATCGCTATCGTCACTTCCAAGGTTTGACGCGCATCCTCAGCCGTGGCGTGAGTTGTTGGTCTCCCATTGATAACATGATCCAGCCAGCTTCTTGTTTCATCACCCAGTGGACCCCAATAATCACCCGCCGCCCAGTCACCAGGAGTCGTACTGCTCAAAAATGCAGTGTGGATGTGATGATCCGGTATATATGTGTGTGGAATTCCCTTGTCGGTGTATAGCATCTCATCCTTATGGTCTTCATCAAGCATTAAAACGCCATCCGTACCATAAATTTCCATCCTCACACTTTGGCCCAGTGCCGGGTATTTCGCAGGCAGGGCGTAAAAAACACCCAGATTCATCACAGCTCCATTGTCAAAGGTGACGATAGACCAAGTGACATCGTTCGCTGAATAGCCGAGTTCTTTGTATATTTTCCCGTTTCCACGAGCGACCACCTCCACTGGGTCGATGACCTTCCATGAACCAGCAGGTCATATCCACCCAATAGGTGAGCACATCGAGCACAGGCGTTGCGTGAGGAGAGCGCTTCAGGATCTGTAGCCCCTGGGCGCGGGTGTTACAGGTCCGGCCCGTTCCTGCGAGAATTTCCCCTAGTCTTCCTTGAATAATTTGCTCTTTCGCCATCTGATAGCGACGTTTGAATCGTTGGGCGTAACCCACCCTGAGTTCAGTACCTGTCCTCTCGGCCACATGAGAGTATGCGGTCGGCATCCTCCAATGTCAGGGAAATCGGTTTTTCCACCAGCACAGGCTTGCCTAATTCCAAGGCATGGATAATGGAATCGGCGTGATCGTGCTCGGGTGTGGACACGATGACAGTCGTGACATCCGGGTGTTCTATTACTTCTTCGTTTTGGCCTGTAGCGAGTTGGGCGCCTACTTGCCCCCCTAATTCTTTCGCCCGATCTAGATCGATGTCCGATACCGCCAAAAATTCAAGAGACGGGTGATGTGAGACCAGATTAGCTCGCAAGGTTCCTATTCTGCCAGAACCTACAACACCCACACCTAATGACTTTTTGTTCATTTTCACCCTCTGGATATTCTTAAAGAGTTATCTGGTAACACGAGCAGAACAAGAAATGCGCGACTGCTCTTTTTATAGGAACAAACTAAAAAAACCGGCCTCCTAGGAGACCGGTCCACACATCAAAATTTGGTTTCATCAGGTCACGGGCGCGTAGAATTGCTTCCATTCTTCGGGCAACTCTTCTTCGGTCACATCTTTCATCGAGAGGCGGATTCTCCCGTTCCCTTCCACTTCGATGCATTTCACCAAAACCTTCTGGCCTTCTTTTAAGACATCACTTACCGAACCGATTCTTTCTTCGCAATCATACTGATATGGCAAAGGCCATCCGTTCCCGGGAATATTTCGACGAATGCTCCAAAATCCATAATTTTTCTGACCGTACCATAGTAAATCGTGCCCTTCTCGGCTTCCTGAGTAAGTTCACGAATAATCTCCATTGCCCTGAGGCTGCTGCTTCATCGTGGATGAGATGAAAATGGTTCCATCATCCTCAATGTCTACATCCGCACTGTTTCCTCGACGATTCCTCGAATCACTTTCCCGCCCGGTCCAATGACATCTCTCACACGATCTTTGGAAACCTGAATCGTCATAATCCGCGGCGCGTAAGGGGAAATCTCTTCACTTGGCTGGGAAATCACTTTGTCCATCTGCTCAAGTACATGCATCCTCGCATCATTGGCTTGCGCCAAAGCATCTCCCACGAGGCTCAATTGCAACCCTTTGATCTTGATATCCATCTGGAGAGCAGTAATGCCATGACGCGTCCCACCGACCTTGAAGTCCATGTCTCCTAAATGATCTTCCAATCCAAGGATATCCGTAAGTATTGCCGTTCTCCCTGTGGATTCTTCACTAATTAAGCCCATGGCAATGCCGGCCACTGGAGATGTTATCGGTACGCCCGCACTCATCAAGGCCAAGCTGGCGCCGCAGATGCTCGCCATGGATGAACTGCCATTGCTCTCCGTGATATCTGAAACCACGCGGATTGTATAGGGAAAATCTTCCTGCTCAGGCAAAATCGCCTGCACGGCCCGAGAAGCAAGCGCACCGTGTGCCAATTTCACGGCGGCCAGGACCACGGTTTGGCTTCGCTTCACCAACACTAAATCCAGGGAAATTATAGTGCAGCAGAAAAGTCCGGTCGGCTTTAGCCATCCAGAGTGTCTATCAATTGCGCTTGGGAAGCGGTGCCTAGCGTTACAGTCACCAACGCCTGGGTCTCACCTCGTGTGAACAATGAGCTGCCATGGGGCCTGGCAAGGGGCGACATTCTGATGGTAATCGGCCTGACGTCACGAAGCCCCCGACCATCCGAACGTTTCCCCTCATCTAAAATCAAGCCACGGAAAACTTCTTTTTCGATTTTACCAAATACCAGAGACAACTCCCCTATCAGGAGACCCCTCCTCGTCTGATACAAAGAGAATCGACCGCAGCAGCTTTTGCCTCATTAATCGCACCATATTGTCCTGCTTGTCGTGAATCTCGGCAGCCGCTTTTAGTTTAGGAACAACAATTTCACGAACCTTCTCTAAAGTCCCGCATCTTCTTCCTCAGGCTCGACGACGCGTTTTGTTTTTCCGCATTCCGCTCTCAGTTCATCCTGTAGAGCGCACAACTCTTTAATCACCGACATGGCCTTTTTCAAGCGCTTCCATATATACATCTTCGGAAACTTCGAAACTTCCTGCTTCCACCATCACTATCGCGTCCGATGTTCCTGCCATCACACAATTCACATCGCTGTCAATTTGCTGTTCGATTGTGGGATTGACAATAATTTCTCCATCAATTCGCCCGACACGAACAGCACCGATAGGGCCTGCGAAAGGGATATCCGAAATATGGAGAGCGGCGGAGGTTCCATTGATTGCCAAAATGTCGGAATCATTCAACTTATCGTAAGACATGACCATGACCTGAATCATCGTCTCGACAACGAAATTCCTTCGGGGAAAAGAGGTCGAATTGGCCTATCGATTAAACGACAGGTTAATGTCTCTCTCTCTCGCCAGGTCTTGCCTCGCGCCGGAAAAAATTGCCGGGAATAATTCCTGCTGCGTAGAAAAATTCTCGATAATCGACAGTAAGTGGGAAAAAGTCTATTCCCTCACGAGGAGAGTGCGAGGCGCAAGCCGTACACAGCACACTGGTTTCACCATAATGCATCATTACGGCGCCACCGGCTTGCTTGGCTATCTCACCTGTTTCAAAAGCAAGAGTATAACCATTGATAGATATGTTTTTTCGATACGGTGGCATTATATTACTTCCCTCTGAGGCAAGATCCACGGCTAGCGACGCAGGCCAAGATCCTGAATGATCGTGCGGTAGCGGTTGATGTCCTTCTCTTTCAAATAATCAAGGAGGCGACGCCGCTGACCCACGAGTTTGAGTAGACCTCTTCGGGAATGATGATCTTTCTTGTGGGTCTTGAAATGATCTGTGAGGTAGGTAATGCGCTCGGTTAGGATAGCTACCTGCACTTCTGGTGAACCGGTGTCGGTGTCATGTGTGCGAAATTTTTCGATAACTTCCGATTTTCGCTCCTTTGCTAGGGGCATTTCTGTCACTTCCTCCACTGCTTATATTGCCCCGGGCCCTCCCGAGGCCATTCATCCAAGCTTTTTGAGTTCTCTTAAAAACGGGTGGATTCTATACAACTTTTCCATCAATGTAAATACAGAACAGATATTCTCTTAAATCTAGGTGGCAAACACTTTTTCAGGCGCCACAAACCCTTGGTTACGTTTTCGTATATTTTCATGGACCATTTTTCCAACCGCCAATAATTCCCCCGGTTCATTCAGCATACGGACACGGGTATCTACTGGATAATCAACAACTTCCCGAACATCTTCGATCCTGATCATAGCGCCATTCAACACCCGCACTCTGCCCTTGGCTGCACATAGATGGCAGGCAAATGTGCGAGAGCTTGAGCTGGGACTCATTAGCATATCTTCAAGGCGTTTGTCTTTCAAATGACGTTGCACATCTTCGAGAAAAATGGAATCCTAGAGTTCGAAATGGCCCCAAGGCAGTTCGCGTGAGTGCTTGCAAACATCCTCCTGACCCTTGAGTTGCGTCCCGACATCATGACAAATAGAGCGAATATATGTTCCCCGAGAGCATGTGACATCAAAGGTGAGTTGGGGACCTTCCATCTCAAGCGCTTTTATCCTGAATACCTCTATGGGTCGCTTCTCTCTTGCAATTTCCATGCCAGAGCGCGCTAATGCGTGCAGGCGCTTTCCATTGGCCTTCAAAGCGGAATACATCGGTGGTACCTGCGTCGTCTTGCCCAACATAGCATTCAGAAGTTCTTGCGCTCGAGGAAATGTGATGTCTCCTGGGTCGGATTCAGTTCCAACAATTTCCCCGTAATATCCTGGGTATCTGTCACTCGTCCAAACAACATGACAGCCCGATACGTTTTCTTACACCCCAAAAATATGAGAACAATTTCGTCGAATTACCAATGCAAATCGGCAAAACTCCTTCGGCCATAGGATCAAGTGTACCTGCATGCCCCACTTTTGTTTTTGCGGGAAGCAGTTTTCTTACTTCATCAACCATATCGTGCGAGGTAGGGCCATGCTTTTTCTTCAGATTCAAGACACCCGAGAGTTCCAACCTCTTGTCCTTTCTCAAACTTATTTCTTCAAATCAGATAATAAACGTTCAATTTCGTCGCTGTATGCCAAACTGTGGTCGGTGAAGAAATTTCAGCCTAGGTGTACTTTTCAATTGCAAGCGTTCGGCAAGTTTCATCTGCAAGAATCCACTGGCACGTTCAAGTCCCTTGAGACCCTCTTCAATTTCCTCAGAATTTCCTTGATTTTCACCGTAACAGCTAAAATAGACCTTCGCAACTCTCAAATCAGGGGACACTTCTACTCGAGTGATCACAACATGTCCTCACGCGTGATCTTTCACATCTCTCATCACATATTCGCCAGTTCGGATTGTATGAGTTCCGCCACGCGCAGCATACGAGAATTGCTCATGTTTTCAATTTCTCTCTATGAGTTTCAAAAAATCTCGATATCAAAATCCAATATAATGATTAGACCCATTCCCTCAAGGAAATTCAGCGCTTTTCTCAGTTGGCTATCTACAAATCGACCCTCATTGCTTACTACACTCACGCCGATACGACATCGCTGCCACTTATCTGGAAATCGACTTCAGCGACAGATACATTGAACCGTTGACGCAGGCGCGTTGTTATCGACTGAACTATCTTACGCTTTGCCTTGAGCGAACGACATTCAGGAATCTGAATATCGATTTTCAAAAGACCAACAAAAGGCATAGAATGGAGGTTTCAAAAAAAGACGACGCAAAACAACCTAAAGCGTCCGAGATACTTCTTCCGTAATATACGGTTCTATTAGGTCGCCTTGCTTGAGGTCATTGTAATTCTCAATTCCGATTCCACACTCATAACCAGAATGAACCTCGTTCACATCATCTTTGAAGCGCCTCAAAGATGAAATCTTGCCCGTATAGATAACTACATTGTCCCGGATGAGGCGCGCACTTGAATTTCTATTAATATTTCCGTCGGTGACATAACAACCCGCTATCGTTCCCACATTAGGAACATGGAATAGCTCCCGGATTTCCGCGTGCCCGCGTACAACTTCCCGTTGAACGGGTTCTAGTATTCCCTCAAGAGCCGATTTGATTTCATCGATAGCATCATAGATGACTGAATATAATCGAATATCTACTTTTTCATGTTTCGCAACTTCTCTGGCTCCTGGCGTCGGACGAACATTAAAACCTACGATAACGGCCGCCGAGGCAGCCGCAAGCATCACATCGGTTTCTGTGATCCCACCTACAGCACTATGTAGAACCTTAACTCCTACCTCCTCATTCCCTAGCTTGCCCAAAGATTCCTTCAACGCCTCTATGCTTCCCTGCACATCTGCTTTCAAAATTAAGCTCAACTCTTTGACTTGGCCTTCCTCTACGCTTTCCATGAAACTTTCCAGAGAAACGCGCGCTGAAGCCATCAGCGCCGCCATGCGTTCACGTTGTTGACGCCTTGCGCTTATCTCTCTCGCCATCTTCTCATCTTCTAAAACCGTAAATGTATCACCAGCCTCAGGAACACCGGCGAATCCCAAAATTTCTACTGGCGTAGAAGGTCCCACGACCTTCAACTTGCGGCCCTGGTCATCGAATAATGCGCGAACTTTGCCATTCCATTTGCCAGCTACGAAATTATCACTCACATTCAAAGTGCCTCGTTCAACCAAAACAGTAGCAACCGGACCACGTCCTCTATCCAGCTTCGCTTCCACGACAACACCGCTGGCAAGCCGGCTCGGGTTGGCCTTCAACTCCATAAGTTCCGCCTGCAAAATAGCAAGGTCCAAAAGCTCATCAATTCCGATATTCTCTTTTGCGGAAATTTCAGAATAAACCGTATCCCCACCCCAACCTTCCGGGATCAAATCCAATGTCGAGAGTTGTTGTTTTACCCTGTCGGGATTTGCATCCGCTAAGTCCATTTTATTCATCGCCACCATAATCGGAACTCCAGCGGCTTTTGCATGATCGATTGCCTCTCGAGTCTGGGGCATGACGCCTTCATTCGCAGCTACTACGATGATTACTAAATCTGTAACTTGCGCTCCACGCGCCCTCATTGCTGTAAAGGCTTCATGTCCCGGCGTATCCAAAAATACAGCCGTCCCCTTGTCCGTGGTAACCCGATAGGCACCTATATGCTGGGTAATCCCACCTGCTTCGCCTTCCATCACATTGGCTTTGCGGATGGCATCGAGAAGCCTCGTTTTGCCATGATCAACATGACCCATAATTGTTATAACAGGAGCCCTGGGCTGAAGATCTTCTTCCCTATCCTCCTCTTGAATCAGTAGATCTTCAATGTTGTCTTTAGATATTTCAACTTCATAGCCGAAGGTTTCAGATATATTTGTAGCCGTGTTGTGATCTATCATTTGATTGATAGTCGTCATCTGGCCTTTTTTCATCAACTCCTTGATAACTTCTGTCGCCTTTACATTAATTTTTTCAGCGAGTTCTTTCACCGTTATCGTCTCTGCAATACGTACGCGCCCTCCATGCCGGCGAGAAAGTTTTTCTTTGCCGGCATCCCGGGCAACTTTGGAACTTGGTGATGATGTGACGACTTTATCTTCAGGTAATGGAGTTGTTTTGTCTGAAACTGTTTGTTTTTCTGTACTAACCTTCTCTTTTTCCGCGCTTGGCTTTTCGTCAACAACGGTATCTTCTGGTGTGACAGATACCTGAACTGCCGCTTCTTGAATGGCAGGAGAAACTGTTGATTCTTTTTGGGATTCTACATCTTTCAAGCCAGACTCATTTGCTTTTTCCGGCTTTTCAACTTTTGCCTTTGTTGAAGTTTTTTCTTCAGTTTTGATTGCTGGAGCCACTTTCTCCTCTTGAAGTGTTTCTTGAGAAAAAAGCGCCATGACCAGTTCCGCTGTTTCATCATCCACAGTACTCATATGGCTTTTAACTACGATTCCTTCCCTGGCTAATTCCTCAACAAAAGTCCTGCTGTCATATCCAAGATTTTTAGCCAGTTGGTATACGCGTACGCTCGCCATGAATCCTCCACTGCAGATTTTTCACATCCATTATCAAATCGAAAGTAAATCTAATATAAACCCCGATACATATCTTGCTTCAACCATTACAAATTGCTCTTTCCTGCATCAAGCGCAAGCAGATACTATTCACAAGAAGAAGTTCATCGATAAATAACACGCCAATCGGTTTTTGACTCAAAAATCCTCCGAGTTCATTCATAGCAAAAGGCAAAATATAAAATTCTTCCGAAATATATTTCAAGTTCATCAAACTTTTGGGTGATATATCTTTGGAAACAAACGGTTTCCCCGTTTTCGAGAGCTTTATCTTCTTGAAAACCGCTTCTTTTCCAAAGGTGAGTACACCCTTTCTTTTAGAAGCAATCAACATGCCCTTGAGATTTCGTTTAAGGAGCATTCTCACATTTCGAATCAATTCATTCGAATCGACTCTGAAATTCCTTCTTTTCAACACAATTTCCAATCGATTCGAAGAAATAAGCTTCGAAATACAATTCATATTAAAACAACAATGAGCCCCTCTTCCTGGCAATTTTCTTCCTAGCTCGCAAGCGATATTCCCTTCCGGGGCGATTACCATCCTGAAAAAAATATTCACATTTCCCTTATTCCGACAAACTATACATGTTCTATCTGGCAAACATACATTCCTTCATCATCCCTCATGGGACTCCATGCCAGTGGATTTTTCATGAGAACGAGCAGCTTCAATCAGCAACTCGGCCCTCTTGGGCCCAATCCCGGGAACCTCACATAATTCATCCGTCGATGCCGCGCTAATCGCCGCAATCGTAGAAAATCCATTGTCCGCCAAAAGCCGCGCCATTTTCTCACCAACAAGATCTAATTCTATTAATTCACTGGCAGAGTCTCCATCAGCTTCCGTCGGTTGAATGCTTTCGTCCTGATCTTCCACGTCAGCAACATTCTCCTGGCGGTCGTCGCTCGAAAATGCCTGCTCGGCAATAATGCGTCGATACTCACCCTCACCTTTCAGATCAATTTTCCAGCCCAAGAGTTTAGCTGCCAAGCGAACATTTTGGCCGCCTTTCCCAATCGCCAGAGAAAGCTGATCGTCAGGCACCAATACCTCCATTCGACCTTCATCATCAAACAAAGTGATGTGCTGGATTTTGGCAGGACTGAGCGCATTAGCCGCATATGTGCGTATATCGTCACTCCAAGAGATGATATCGATTTTCTCTCCTCTAAGCTCTTGAACAATCGATTGCACACGGCTGCCCCGTGTCCCTACACATGCGCCCACGGGATCGATGTCTCGTTCATGACTTACAACAGAAACTTTTGAACGTCCACTAGGCTCTCGGACGCAATCTTTTATGGCCACTATGCCATCGTAAATTTCCGGTACTTCCATCTCAAATAGACGAATCAGCAAGCCAGGATGCGTTCTGCTGAGAACAATTTGAGGACCTTTCGTTATTTCGCGCACCTCCATAATAGAAGCACGGATCCGATCACCACGCTTATAGACCTCTCTGAATATTTGCTCCCGACGAGGGAGGATCGCCTCTGTACGACCAATATCTACATAAATATTGCCGCGCTCTACCTGGGAGACAGACCCTGTAATCAAATCGCCTTCACGCTCCTTGAATTCTTCGTAAATATTCGCACGCTCTGCCTCTCGTACTCGCTGCAATATTACTTGCTTAGCAATTTGCGCAGCTATCCTCCCCAGCCCCTCGGTTTCGACACCCTGTGAAAGAAAATCCCCAACCTGAATATCAGGATTTTCCTTGCGTGCCTCATCTAAAAGGATCTCACTCTGAGGGTTCTGAACTATCCTGACGACTTCTTTCGCTGCTTTAACGTCAATTTCACCGGTTTGTTCATCAAATGATACATCCACATTTTTGCCCAAACCGTATTGTTTCTTCGCGGCTGACGCCATCGCGACTTTCAGGGTATCCAAAAGCACATTTTTGGAGACACCTCGCTCACGTTCCAATTGTGTCAGGACCGCAATTAATTCTTGACTCACAAACTACTCCTCCATGATGGATTGAGCTGACTCTACTCTGTATTCCCCCGACCTTGAAATTCCGTATCCCAATCCACATCCAAGTTCGCTTTTACGATATCGGCCAGTGTAATGAAGCTTTCTCCTCATTCCGTAAAAGCACACAGACAATATTTTCATCAACCTCAACTAGCTTCCCTACAATTTTTCTCTTTCCCTTCCGCCTGCCTTTAAGACGTATGCGCACCCGATGCCCGACATAGCGTTCAAAATCCTGGATTTTTCGTAGAGGCCTCTCAATGCCAGGACTTGATATTTCAAGGCGGTAAGAATTTTCAGTGACGTCCTTCTCATCGAGACGTTCTCCGAGTTCCCGGCTCACGGTTACGCAATCAGAAATTAAAACCCCTCCTGATTTTTCAATATATACCTGAATGATCTGCTGGCTACGGTTCCCGGTCAGTTCAATGTCAACCATTCAAACCCAAGGTCCGAAACCACTTCCTGGGCGATAGTCCATAATTGGCTATCGACATCAATTATCACCATGACTCTATTCCGAGAGTGAATAAAAAAATGGGCCATCAATTGACCCACTTACTCAACAGCCAAAATCACCAATATTTTAATCGCCATTCGAGGAAAGCGCAAGTGGAATAGCTTCTTTGTAGTATATAAGGTCATTCTTGCTCGAAGATTTGCGACGTGCTAGATTCTGCCGAATTAAGCGGAGAAAAGATATTGAACTAGAATGAGCAACGAATCAGTTTTGCGTTTTCCCCGAAGAAGCGCTACGGGCTTCCTTGCCCAAGATCAAGTCGCCTCCTGGTTGGGCGCAATCATAAGTGAAGAGGTAGTACCATGATTCGATTGACAAAGGTCAAGGCCCTGTGGATTTACGAAACGATGGTTCGCATTCGAAGGTTCGAGGAGCCGTTCCATTGAACTATTCCAAGCAGGAGAACTACCAGGTTTTCTCCACGCCTATATCGGCGAGAAGCCGTCGCCGCCGGGGTTTGCGCTCACTTGACCCCGAAAGACCAAATCACATCTACACACCGCGGCCATGGACACATGATCGCCAAGGGGCTCCAATACAGGGGCATGTTCGCCGAGTTGTACGCTCGTGGAACGACTGGCTACTGCATAAGGCAAGACCTCGAATGCACATTGGCTCGACCAGGACTATGGGGCGTCTCCGGCGAGCGAATGGCATTGTGGGCGGGGGTATTCCCATAGCCGCCGGCGCCGCCTTGGGGCTTCAACTAAAGGGAGAAAAACACGTTGCCGTCAGTTTTTTCGGCGACGGAGCCAGCAATGAAGGCGCTTTCCATGAGGGTATCAACATCGCCGCTACTGGAAGCGTGCCGCGTTGTGTTTGCGAGAAACAACGGATCGCCGAAAGCACGCCTCTGCGACCCATCGCAAGCGGTTCAGACATCGCCGCCTCGTGCCTAAGGCCTACGAGCATGCCCGAATCGTCTGTCGATGGCATGGACCCCCAAGCTGTCTACGAAGTGGCGCGCAGCGATTGCGCGCGCCGCAAAGGAGGGCGAGACCTACGCTGATCGTAAGCCAGAAACAATGGCGGTTTTTTGGGCCATACGTGGGACGACCCCGTTGGGTCACGTGCTTCCGACCGACTATGCGCACGACAAAGAGGTGGGCAAGTGGCTCAAACGCGACCCACTCAGCCACGTTCGCCTGAAACGCTCGCAGAAGAGAAAATGGTCGAGCACAAAAAGTCAGTATCGACGCCTCTACGCCGAATGTGCATCCAAGAGATGGAAGAAGCCATCGAATTCGCCCGGAAAAGCCCGGAACACATGGCCGCGAGTGCTGACTGGTGCAGTTGCTCGGCGCTGTACGGCGATCGCTGCTTAGTTATGGAAGACGACGACCATATGAACCACCGCCCGGCCGTTCCCGGACACGACATTATCGGCGTCCCGTTAGGAGAAAAGGGAAATGGCGCGAGATTTATACCGAGGAGAAGCCATCAGCGAGATGCCGCTGGATGAGGAGGGCATGGCGAGAGAGACTCGTTTCTTCGGTTTCTGCTCGGGTGAGGATATCGCCGAGTTCGGCGGCTCATACAAGACGACCGTGGGGCTTTGGAAAATATGGCGCTGAGCGCGTGAGAAACACGCCATATCTCCGAGCAAGGCATCATCGGCGCGACTCTGGGGGCCGCGCTCGTGGGCATGCGCCCCGTGGCGGAGTTGATGTACATCGATTTTTCCGCCATCGCCATGGATCAAATCGTCAATCAGGTCGCCAAGGTACGCGCTACATGTTCGGCGGCCAGGCGAATACCTCGCTCGTCATCAGAACCCAAGGGCGGCGCAGGCGCAGTTCCGCCGCCCAGCACGCGCAAAGCCTGGAAGCGTGGTTCGTTCACGTGCCGGGCCTCAAGGTGGGCATGCCCTCCAGCGCGCGCGACGCCAAAGGCCTTCTGAAGGCGGCCATCAGGGACGACGACCCGGTCTTCTTCTATCGAACACAAACTACTTTATCTGGAAAAAGGCGCCGTTCCCGAGGAGGAGGAGGTCATCCCCCTCGGCCTCGCCGAAGTGAAAAGACAGGGGAGCGACCTGACCATCGTCGCCACCTCATCGATGGTCGGCAAATCGCTCGCCGCGGCGGATGAGCTCGAAAAGAAGGGGTTCACTGCGAGATCATAGACCCCAGAACGCTTTTCCCCCTCGATGTGGAGACGATTCTCGCCTCCGTCGCGCAAGACGGGCCGGCTCCTCATCACCCATGAGGCCGTGCAGCGTTGCGGTTGGGGAGCGGAAATCGCCGCCATGGCCGCCAAGGACGCTTTCGATTATCTCGACGCACCCATCGAGCGCGTCTGCGCCAAGGAAACGCCGGTGCCCTTTTCGCCCAAGCTGGAATCCTACGTCATTCCCGACAAGGATGACGTAATCGCCGGGGTTCGTGGTATGCTAGAGACGGTATAACTTCAGAATTCATCCAATCTTTAGGAGCAAAGATTCATGGCCACTCCCCTCCCGATGCCCAAACTCGGCCTCACCATGGAAGAAGGCACCATCCTCAAGTGGCGCAAGGGCGAGGGTGAAGCGGTCGAAAAGGGCGAGATTATTCTCGACATCCAGACCGACAAGGTCGAGTACGAGGTCGAATCGCCGGGCGGCGGCCTCATGCTCAAGATGCTGGCGGGAGAAGGCGACTGTCGTTCCCTGCGGCACGGACATCGCCGTCATCGGCGAGACGGGAGAGGACATCAGCGGCTTTGGAGGCGGCGGGCCCGCCGAAACCCCCGTGGAGGCGGAACCCGGCGCGGCGGATGCGCCCCCGGCGCCACCACCTGCCCCTGCTCCTCCCCTGTTCCAGCGGCGCCCCTCCCCGCACAGCCGGCGCCTGCGGGCAGCGGTTTTCGCCAGCCCGGCGGCAAGGCGCGTGGCTCGTGAACTCGGAATCGATTCCGCGCCCTCACAGGCTCGAGGCCCCGGCGGAAGAATCGTGCAGGCCGACGTGCGAGCGGCGGCGGCATCGGGCCTTACCGCTGCGCACGGCCGCCGCGAGCGGCCCCGCGGCCGTGGCCGCTTCCACGCCCCTGGCCGGTATGCGGAAAATCATCGCCGATCGCATGCTCTCAGTTGGTCCCAGGTGCCGCGAATCACCATGCAGGCCGAGGTGGACCTCACGAACCTCCTCGCCGTGCGCGAAGCCGGCCGCCAGGCGTGGGAGAACGACCTCGGCGTCAGGGTATCCATCAACGATCTCATCCTCTTCTACACCGCCCGCGCCGTGCGCCGCTGCCCGGCCGTGAACGTCCGCCTCGCCGAAAACGCCCTGGAACAGATGCGGGATGTGAACATCGGGGTGGCGGTAGCCGTCGAGCAGGGACTGATGGTGCCCGTCATCCGGGGCGCCGACCAGAAATCCATCGACGCCATCTCGCGCGAGTCGAGAGCGCTGGCCGAGGCGGCCCGCGCGGGCGCCTTGGGGCTGGATGCGCTGGAGGGAGGCACCTTCACGGTCTCGAATCTGGGCGCCTACGGGGTGGACCATTTCAGCGCCATCATCAACCACCCCGAATCCGCCATCCTCTCCGTGGGCGCGGCGCGAGAGCGCGCCGTGGTGCGAAACGGCGAGGTCGTGGCCCGGACGACGGTCTACGTCGGCATCAACGCCGACCACCGCCTGGTCGACGGCGCGCCGGCGGCCGAGTTCCTTTCTACGCTCAAAGGACATGCTGGAGCACCCCAAGGTGATGCCCGCATAAACAACAACCCTTCTAGTATCAATATCTTGCAATGATTTATTAAACCATTTTATATTTTCAGAAATACCTCGTTAATTTATCGAATTTTATCCGATTTTTCACTATTTTATCGATACGCATTCCTGAGTTTTTCGCTTTCGATGAACGCACCCTACCCCGACCCGAAAATCCACCGCCACCGGCAAATACGGGCAAATGCGCGTGCGATGGCGGGCCGGTGGACGAGAGAATTCGTGAACGTTCGGAGGCGTGAACGGAGGGCGTGAGATTCGTTTCGATGGATGAACGAGAAGTCTCGTTTCATAGAAATTACGAACCGGTGTTTTCCTGCTTTTCGAGTCGGAACAATCCCTCCTCATCAGCCAGAACAATCCCTTCTCCTCGGGTTGTTGAAAAAGCCCCCCTGACAAGGGGGGTTGGGGGGTTCATGGCAAGGAAGGATGGGGGGAGTCGGAGGGAATAGTACTTTACCCGTCCCGCTCGCCCTCCCTCGGCTGGAAACCAACCCCCCTGGCCCCCCTTGTCAGGGGGGTAAAGGCCATGCGCCCGACGAGGGCTTTTTCAACAGCCCCTCATCAGTCGGGATTGACCCCCTGTTTCCATCGCGCCGCTGTGTATAGTATTATTTTTATGTTGCTATTTATATTGCGGCGCGCGCGTTTCGGGCGTGTTCGCGATTCGAAGGCTTTGTGACTATTTCTCCGCCCCCGGGGTCCGGGTCATAATTCAGGAGACAAGCGATGGCCGAGACGGTTCACGAAGTAAACTACTATTACATCACCGCTTCCAATAAGCCGGGCGAGGGCGCCGCCCTCGCCTCCCTTTTCAAGGACGCGGGCGTCAGCCTGCTGGCGATGCACGCCTTCCCCGTACGCAGGCGGGTCCAGGTCGACTTCGTGCCCGAGGACGCGCGGGCCTTCACCGCCTTCGCGCGCAAGGCGAAGCTCAAGCTCAGCCCCCGGAAAAAGGCCTTTCTCGTCGAGGGCACGGATCGCACCGGGGCGCTTGTGCCTGTTCTCGAAAAACTCTCGGACGCAGGCATCAACATCACCGCCATCACGGCCATCGCCGCGGGCAGGAAGCGCTACGGCGCCATCTTCTGGGTGAATCCCAAAGACCAGCGCAAGGCCGCGAAAGCCCTGGGGGTGTAGTCGGTTCCGATTGAAAAGGTAGGGCTTTCTGCTCTTCGTAGGGGCGGACCTATGTGTCCGCCCCAGATTTTAAGAATCGCGGGTCCTTGGGGCTGCCCCACCAGTTTTCGTTAACGAAATTAATGATTCCCCCGGTAGGCGTACACAATAGCCCGCTCTGTGCGTCTTGTTGCCTCGCTCGCACCGTTGTACAGGTCCGCCTTCCAAACGGGCGGACACATAGGTCCGCCCTACAAACCCTACAGAACACCGTCATTCCGGCGCACGCCGGATGACGGTGTTGCTCCGACCGAGGAAGGAAATACGCCTTTTGTAGGGGAGGCATACATGCCTCCCTGCTTTTTCGCCTTCAAACCACGGGTCGCATATATGCGTGGGGCGGTCCCGTGGAGTCGGTTCCGACCGGAGAGGGAGGAACCGCCACCTACAAACCCCTGCATAACTCTGTCATTTCGGCCCCAACCCCAACTCCATGAAACCACCCCCTCCACCGGGTTTTCGGCGTAAGGGGGAATTTCCCTGAAACCCATCGAGCGGTACAGGGCCATGGCCTCGCGCATAGAGGGAAGCGTATCGAGCCGCACCGAGGCGTAACCCATCTCCCGCGCCGCGCAGACGATCTCCTCCGCGCACTTTCTCCCCAGGCCGCGCCCGCGAAAATCAGGCCGCACGAAGAGGCGCTTCATCTCGCAGATTCCACCGCCCAGATCCCGGAGGGCGACGCATCCGGCAGTCCGCTCTCCTTGGCGCACGATGAGAAATCTCCCGCCCGGCGGGCCGTACATACGCTCGAGGCTTTCCAGTTCTTCAGAAAAACCCTGAAAACACAGGTCGATTCCAAGACCGGCCTCATACTCCCGCAGCAGCGCCTCGGCCTCGCGGTAATCCTCCATCGTCTCCGCCGGAATGAATTCTGGCATTTTATGGCTTCCTCCTCCTCGCGCTCATCCTAGCGCAGAAAAACGGGAGCCTCCCCTACGGAAAGAGATGAACCCGGCATTCTCGAAAATCGCCTCGCCCTTCAGATCATCCCGCCGATGAAACCTTGCCTGCGAGTTCTGGCGACCGGCTCGATACGCGCCTCCCTGCGGCGGCATTCCCGGCAGCGCAGGAGGGGTTCGAGGTCTTTCGCGCGCATTCCAGGGTGTACCTTTCCCGTCCCCGACCGGGCCAGGAGTTCGGCGGGCTCGAGAATCGTCTCCGGCCGCAGTTCTTGCATACCGCGATGAAATACCAGTCTCCCCCGGCGTAATCGCCCAAGAGAAGCGCCATTACTGGAAATCCTCCAGTTGGGGAATGCGGCCGTAGGCAATCTTGGCCCCCGCGTAGCCGCCCGGAGGAGCGCACCCGCCGTAGCCGACGAGGGTGCGCGCATAGCGGCGGTTGATCGAATCGACGGCGGCGGTAAGCCTTCCCAGCCGGCGCCCCTCATCCGGCTTTTCAAGAGGCAGTTCGAGCTGCGCTTCATCCGACGGGATACCGGTCGAACGACACGGCGACCCGGAACAGGGTGGCCCGGCCCCGCGCCGTGGCGAGTGCGGCCCAGAGCGCCGAGAGGGCGTCGAGGCAGGTCAGATCGTCGTTCGCTCTTTCGACGACCGTCGAGGCCGTCCAGGGGGGCGCATCGAGGCACTCGGCCGACAGGGTGAGCCTCCGGGCGAGGAACCCCTCCCGGCGCAGGCGCCGGGCCGCCTTCACCACCAGTTGCCTGGCCATCGGCCGGGCGGAGAGCGCGCTGCGCTCCCCCGGAGGCAGGACCCGGCCGTGGCCGATCGAGCCGCGCCTCGTCACCGGCGGTTCCACGGCGTAGCCGTGGAGCGCGTACCAAAAGCGCGCGCCGGTCACACTGCCCCAGACCGAACGCAGCCGTCCGGGCTCCGTGTTCCAAACCTCCTCGATCGTGCCTATCCCGCTCCGCTTCAAACGTGCGTGCATGCGCTTGCCTACCCCGGGCAACGCCTCGAGCCCGAGGTGGAGCAGAGGACCCGGCAGGTCGCCGGGAAGCAGCACCGTCAGGCCGTCCGGCTTTTCCAGGTCCGCGGCGATCTTGGCGAGCCACCTGTTGGGCGCACAGCCGATGGAGCAGGTGATGCGCTCCCCGACGGCCGCCCGCACGCGGCTCTTGATCCTTCCCGCGATCTCCTCGGGGCGGTCCCGACTCCCCAGAACGGCGGCGCACTCGTCGATCGAGCAAACGACGTCAATCGGCAACACGGAGAGCACCGCAGCGATGATCCGGTGGTGGATCCGGACGTACAGATCCGGCCGCTGCGGCGGGAGAGCTATCCGGGGGCACAACCGGCGGGCTTCTGCGATCGGAGTCCCGGTCTTGACGCCGAACCTCTTGGCCGCGGCGTTGCGGCGATCACGCAACTGTTGCGCGCCCCCGCAAACGGTATGACTCCAACGGGGCGGCCGTGCAGGCCGGGGTCCGCCTGCTCCTCGCAGGACGCGAAAAAGCCGTCGAAATCGATATAGAGCCGCTTCGGTCTGTGGTCGGCGC